AATATATACATATTTAAAATTTATATCTAGTTTATTATTTTCTTATTTTATTATTATTCTTAGTTTATTATATCTAGTTTATTATTTTCTTAAATTTTTTTCCAATAGTTCGCACTACATGTAAAGCCAGCAAATCAAATGTAGACAGAAATTAATTGTATATAGAAGTATTGAGTTTAATCTGCCATTGTATTCTTTTGTTAGTTTCTGTTTGATTTGTGTATGTTATAAGAGTTCTTTGCATTTGGAAATGGAGATGCCATTGAATCCATGATGAAGGCAAAGTCTTTCTTCTTCAGGATTTGTGTAAACCAGCAATTCTTAATCTGTGATCCAAGGATCTCTGAGGGGTTAAAAGAGTTAATAGTTAAGGGTAATTTTTCAAACTAAAATTTAAGAAAAATATGAAAATACCATGCAATACCAATTAATCTTTCATTACAGTCAACTGCTATTCATTAGCATTTTTCATTCATGTATGTGCAATAAATTTAATCAAATCCCTGCAAATAAGTATAAAGTTAATAATTAGGGGTTTAGCAAAATACACATCATATGAAAGAAATTTTTGAACTTAAAATTTAAGAACTGCCAGTCTAGACCAAATGCCATCTGAATGAAAATAGAATAAGTGCATGTAACTTCTAATAGTTGATTTAGTTGATTGAACTTGTGTAGATGCATAAAGTTTTATGTTATTGATATAACTTGAGATAAGATAATGCATATTGTGTTTTTTTTCTGAATTTGATGATATATCTGTATTTTGTGTTCAATTTATTGGACAGTAATTTAAGGCTATATTGTACCAGAATGTATGTAGGGATTCTTGCTGAAAAATGCCTTGCCTTATAATTCATAAAGACTATAAATTCTGTTAGAGCCATTGATTTTTAGAACAGTTTATTTTTAAACAATATAAAAATTAGTCGCAAATAAATTTGCTTCTAAAAATAAGCAAAACTAATATATAACACATGGTTTTGGATTAAATATATAATTAGCAATTATATAAAACATAAATTTGAAGTTTAAGTAGCATATTTGTTCAAATTGGGGATCCAAACTCTGAATACTTTCAATTATTAACTAATAATTAAATAGACTTAATTTAACTATAAATTAGCAACTTTGACTAATTCCATTATCAAATTTGTTTGTTAATTCATCTTCATATATCTTAAAACAAACAAAAGAATCAAACTATTTTCTAATCATTTAGCTTTAGTTCACTAAGTTTAGTTTTTTCTATATAGTCAGTCCACAATTTATGACTAACTGTACTTACAATGGCTGAAACTAATGTATTAAAATAATGATTTGTAATTCTAATTAATCAGATGCACTAGAACACGGGTTCCCAACCTATGGGTCGCGACGCAGAAGGGGGTTGCCAACTTATGCAGTAAACTAAAACAAAATTTTCACTATAATGCAATATTTATTTTTAATGGTGTCTTAAAGTTTGAATAATTTCATATATTTTTAAAAAATTAAAATAAGTGTAATCTGAGTACGCTATTCTGTCACAGTTGGTTGAATCGTGTGTTGAGAGTTTTGAGAGGAATAAATTAAATGTTGAGAATGACATGAGGTTGGCATTAACAAAATCTCACCCGCGAATTTTGAGACTGGTTAATAATACATGCAATTTCAACCATCTCATTAAATTAATTATTAAACATAATTTAAAATAAAATTATACTAAAAAACTAATTTCATTGTTTTTTTAATTACCTTATTAAAAATACCTTTTTCAATTGTATCGGGGTCGCGGGTCACTTGGCTTTTATAAAAAGGGGGTCGCCACCCGAAAAAGGTTGGGAACCGTTGCACTAGAACTAATGGCACAATAAATATTTAAATGTTAAATGTAGTACAGTAATGGTAATAAACAATACTCTAAAGGATAATGAACATATTCAACATAAACAAAAAAATTACCAGGTTTGTTATGTTCAACTATAACTTGAATTTACATCATTAGTACCCTAAAAGCAAAAGCAAATTAACTTTCTACAGAGCTGCTTGATCCCAATTATCATTAACCTTATTATAAAATTAAAATTAGAAAGAATTAATAATAAATTAAATAAATATGAAAAATAAAAATAAAATCAATTTCACATGAAGAATGCAATACTCCCTCAGTAAGATTTTTGACTCTTGAATTTGGTTGACTAGGAATATTTTCCTGTCAATCTTTATTAATAAAACACCATAATTAATTAATTTAAAATATTAAACAATAATGTTATGTTGTATTACAGTAAATAAGCACAACAAATGATTATAATATGCATTTATATGTGATATATAAGCTTAGTCTTTTCCTTAAGAACTATACTTTATTCAGCTGCAATTATCAGTATTACTTTTTTATGTCTGACTTATAATGGGAGTCTCAGAAGAGAACTCTACTATAAGTCAAAGGTTCTCTTGTTTTCACAAAACATTTTCCACAAAAAAAAAGACGACTTCTACTATCTTTCTCTTTTTCTTTCTTTTTAAATAACAAAATAAAAATGTCTAATATGTAAAATATGGACAACACAATAAATGTTTTTTATATTTCTCATAAGAAAAAAATGCTTATTTATGAAAACTATCTTATTTTTTTTTTTGATAAGGAAAAGTACTCTTATCTATACTAATATTATAAAGAGGTAATGTTTGTATGTAAGTTTGTTTGCAGCAGGTAATCTCCGAAACTATTCATCCGATTTCAAAAATTCTTTCACCAATATTTAGAATGGAACCTCAGGGTAGACATAGGCTGTATATTATTCCGTTAAACATTCATATAAATTAAAATATATAATCTAGGTTAAGGCTTTTATGTCCAACAGATGGCGCTACGAGTATGATGCCCTAAGTTTGCTTTTCTGTGAGGCATTACGCTTTTCTGTAAAAATGAACTAAAGCAGATCATCTTCTATCTATTTATATAAATAAAAATGTAATGTTCGTTTGTTCCTACCGATTCCTTTGAAATTTTGACACAATGCTGCATTCGAATACGCACGTGTTTTTATATAATATACATGTGGAAATTCCCCCCACTGAAGGGAGATGGTTAGGATTAAGGCTTACGGTAAAGAACTCTGCTTCTATTTATACTATTTTAGATGCGGGTTTTTGCATTTTTGATTGCGTTTTAATCGGGTACGTCAACAGAATGTACACTAAGAAGGGATTTTTCGATATTCCCCTGCGGGGGAGAGAGAGAGAATTAAGGCTTACTGTGAAGAACTTGGCTTCTATTATATTATTTTAGATGTGGGTTTTTGTGTTTTTGATTGCGTTTTAATAGGGTATGTCAAGAGAATGTACACTAAGAAGAAATTTTTCAAAAAATTCTCCCCCATGGAGGAAGTGTTATACATTTATAATAGATACATTTTGAGCCACAACAACGCGTGGCGGAGTCTGCTAGTCTCTCATATTTTTTATTCATTTGAAAAAGATTTATTGTTCAACTTATCAATAAATTTATTCAATTTATTGATACATATTAAATTATTAAATTAATTGAATTTATTGTATATCAATTTTTGTATGATGGTATTTTTATTTCTTTATCATATGAAGATACCTGTATTTACAAAATATTTGACTATCAAAAATTTGATGAAAATTATAATACATCATACGAATGTAATTTTTATACTCTATAACCTTGATTACAGGCTGCAGATTATACAAGGTTATATTTACTAAAGTCAAGAGAGACTAATACATGAAAATTTAAGTATCTTAATGAATCAACTACATGTGCAAAGGATAGAGTTCCGTATATTTTATCAGCAGTTGCCAAATGTGTTTCAAAAGTAGCCAAAAATTGTCAAATGCTTGTTGAAAATAAACAAAAATGTGGCAAGTTTTTCGGCTAAAGTCTAATTGATATGAGATAAAATTAAGTATGCATATTTCAATCACATTTTGTTTCTCTATGATATACTGAAAGTAATTTTAAAGTATTCATAAAAATTGCCAAAAATGACCAACAAATAGTGTACAATTAACTGTAGTATAGTGCACAATGAGATTTATGTAAACAAAATTATTTCTGAAGTGTTTGTTTTCTATTGATTTTTATTCTGGAGTCATACTCTAAAATCTTGGGTGTAAGTCACAGCCTATAAGTTACCTTTTTCCTGGAAAAGTCAACATTCCTTTACAACTTTTGCTTTTGCAGCTTAAACATGAGGGCAGCCTAATTAAAAGCACATTTCTCACTCTATCCTATTTCTCCCACTCTTTAAATGTTTGAAAATTTATCAAAGTCAAGAGTAAAACTGTCTAATAAAATAAAATTAATGATTATTTCAATAAAGCAGTTAATTTAAAATACCATAAAACAAACAACAATAAATAAGATCCTGACCAAGTAAACTTATTAACCTAGTATTTTTCTCAAGCATTCTATATGTCTTTTCATCAATGTGTACACTTGATTTTTGCAGTCATATAGTTATAACATATTACTGATTTTATGAAAAGCTTTCATCTTATCTGACTATTTTTAAAACTAGTCATCTTCAGTACTCACATTTTCCATTTCCTTGGCATTGTGCTCATTTTTCTGGCATTTAATTCTCTTCTCCCTTCTACTCGTTTGCCACACGGTGGTATATTATTTGCATTTACAGTTTTAACTTCTTCAACAGACGTAGAAAATGATCCTTCTTCTCCCTCTTGCCTTTGTCCTTCTAAAAGACTATTCTCTCTTACATTCAAAACTATAAAACAGTTTTTAAAGTTGAACTATATATGTTTACGATTTATCTAAACACAAATTACTATTATGTTCACAATAGTTGAAAAATAACTCACTTTCAACCATATCACCAGGAGAGAGATTTACATGGCCGGGTGTAATAGCATTGTGTTCTTTACCACACATAAAATTTGTATTCTCTTGATGTTCTGCATTAGACTCAAAACTTGCACCACTATTACTAGTACAGACACCTGATGAATCACTAGCAATACTCTTCCCTGAAAACAGAATTTATCATTATCAATAATTTTTTATATTTGATTAAAAATCATTTTCTGTAGTAACCATAATAATGTCATAAAAAAAAAGAAAACACATTATAAATGTACTGTACATGTGTGTTTGTGTGTATTTTTACAAATATAATTATACTAATTTATTGACTAGTGAATCATATTTGAATTTTTTTACTAAATATGTACAAAACATTTCTGCAAACTATTTAGAAGAAAATTATAAACAAAATTAATACCATATGATATGTTTATTGTTACCATAATATGCTGTATTTAAATAGTCTAGAAGTAAAAAAATCTATTATTATTTGCAAAGGAAATTAGAGTTATAGAAAATCTTTTGTATTGTATTCTGTGTAATATCAACTATAGTGGAAATGGCTTTAAAAGCTTTAGCTTTTTATTATACTACTTGTAATAACATTTGATATGATTTTTACATAAAATATTTCACAGGTTTTTTTTTAGCTAATTACCTAAGATATAAATCAAATTAATAATAATAAGAGTATTATTTATGGCAATGATGTTTTGCTTTAATAAAAATAATTTATTAATAAATTCTATAGTAATTATGACAGAATACTGTAGTTGGCATTATATATAACATTCTGGTTGAAGAAAACAACGAATAATTTTATTTAAAAAAATTCAGTATAATCATTATTAGTGGACTTAATGGCATAATTTTATTTTTGGCAATTAAATTTGGTAAATGAAGAATTAGTGCAAAATCGAATTTAGGTATGGTTCAATTTTTCTCAATAATAGTTTATTTTGTTCAATTAACTCTATTGACAATCAAAATAAAAAGTAAAATGCTGAATCATTTAATAAAAAAAATTATCCAAAATCTTCATAATGATAATGACAATGCAGTAAATAAATAGAGCAGTATTGACAAAGAACAAAAAAGTTCATATTAAATATTAATGTACAACAAAAAAATAAATATTAAATGTGACACTTAGAGAAAATGAAGTGCTTCCAAAGATTTAGACATTATTTAAATATTTTTCATTAAATATAGTCACAGAAAGAAAAGATTTTATAATGAAATTTATGAAAATGACAAATGATTTTATTAGTGATTAAATTTTTTTTAATTTGTTGACAGCTGGAATAACTAATAGAATTTAATGCAGTTTTTTTTCAGTAGAAGACTGTTTCAAATTGAATAATTTGAAACAGTCTTCTACTGGTTCAAATTTCAAACAATTTCAATTTCCTATATTATATTTGTTTAATATTTGAAAAAAATATATATATATTTTTTCAATATATATACTGTATATATATATATATATATAACTAATGACTTACAGATATAATCAATGAAATTTTCAAATAAACCAATTATGATGAGATATATAACAGTCATTAATTTGTGTTAGTTTTAAAATTTTACACCAAGTCAAAAGCATTTTAAAAATTTTCCAAGTATGCTACTTTATATATTTACTTAATTTTTCTTGTAACATTATTAATTATTTTTCTCATTTTCTAAAAGTAATTCAACACAAATACATTTACCCTATATATCAAAGGATACAACAAATAAATGTTGTAGAAAATAATAGTAATAAATCTTTTAAAAAATATATTTAAAAAATATCAAAACATATTTAACTTTTACTGATTTAAATCAATGGAAATTGAAATTAATAAGTTTATTTTAGAATAAATACAATGTATATATGAATATAAATTATTTGTACATATTTTTCAAGTGATAAAGATATTAGTTTTGAACCAAACATGTAAAATCATTACATTATTAACAACTAATGCATCAAATTATAGAGTTCAGAGATCCAAATTTTTACTGCTTGTACTCAAACTGCAGCAGGCAATCAGTCCTAAAGTAAGTAAGAGAATAAGGCAAATTCTTTATTAAGCAACCATCTACAGATTGAGTTGTATTTTTATTTTATTTCAATAAAAATAAAAAAATAGTTAATAAATCTGAATTATTTTAAATAATTGATTCTAAAAAAATTCTCATTATTATTAAAAAGAATTTATATAAATTTTTCTTCATACTATAAAAAAAATTATTTATTTCATATTATGAAATAAATAATTTTATCACTTTCCAAAACTAATAATTAAATTGAAGTTTTTGCAGATGATATCACAAATATTTTAAAAGAATTAGAAAATTGAATAAGAATTTATTTATCTTCTAGATCAACGGTTCCCAACCTTTAAACGGTGGCGACCCCTTTTTATAAAAGCCAAGTGACCCGCGACCCCGATACAATTGAAAAAAGCATTTTTAATAAGGTAATTAAAAAAACAACGAAATTAGTTTTTCAGTATAATTTTATTTTAAATTATGTTTAATAATTAATTTAATGCGATGGTTGAAATTGCATGTTATTAACCAGCCTCAAAATTTGCAGATGAGATTTTGTTAACGCCAACCTCATATCATTCTCAACATTTAATTTATTCCTCTCAAAATTCTCAACACATGTTTCAAGCAACTGTGACAGAATAGCTACCCAGATTACACTTATTTCAAGTTTTAAAAAATATATGAAATTATTCAAACTTCAAGGCACCATTAAAAATAAATATTGCATTATAGTGAAAATTTTCTTTAGTTTACTGCATAAGTTGGCGACCCCATAGAAAACCCACTGCGACCCCCTTCTGGGTCGTGACCCATAGGTTGGGAACCCGTGTCCTAGTTTATTACTAATTTCACATAAATAATGATGAAAAAAATCATACAAAGGCAAAAACAGATCATCAAATTAGTTTTAAAAATCACGTAAAGAATTTGTTGAAAATACAAAATATACTTTCACAAGACAATATAAATAAATATTTTATGTTGCATTATATATCAGAATAAAATAAGTCATTTTAAACATATTTTAATACTTTGAATCTGACCTATACACAGGATTTTTAAAAGGGCAAGAGTTTAAAAAGAAAACTATTATTTTTTCATAATTTAATTTATTAATTTTTACAATTTAGGTATAGAGTACACAATACAACAGACTAAGGAGAAATTGAACAGGTACAAAATATTATATACAATATATTGTATTATTAACATAGTAACATTTTTCTGTTTGAATTTCAAATGGGAGAGATTAAATCCCCAAACCTCTCATGCTCAAATTGAATCATATTTTCAGTATGATTTTAAAAAGTAAAACAAAATACAATTTTCATTTTTTAAAATTGAGAATATATAAGTTGTTTGTAAGGTTCTTTTGTATTGAAATAATGAAACTACCAAATTGTAATGTAAATGCTTTAATTAACTCAAATGTTATGCATTCTTAATATTTATACATATTCCATTATAATGAACCAGGAAGGTGAGAATACATTAATGGATCACTAATTCACTACCAACTGTCATAAATTTAAAATACAGGGCAATTGTATAAAGTTTATGATATTCTTTTGTAATATTCTTTAGTTTGTAAACATTTTTGTAAAAATTTTCAAAAATTTATTATCCGCTCAATTAATTGCAAATGAAAAATATAACTGAACCTTTAAATAGTTAAAAAAAAGTTAGAATGTTTTAAAAGTGAAAAAATATGGGTTCCCAAATCAGTGTTTAAATAAAATTGCAAAATAAAATTATTATACTGAAATCATTTGTGTTTAAAGTATAGAAATGAAATCAACACCAAAAATGTATATATTTGCAACTTTTGATGATAAAAGTGTAGATAACTGCAAGCAGATCCGGGCATTGATTTCAAGTACATTTTGATTGATATCTATAGTTATATTTATTTATTATTCATCCCATTGTCATATATAATTATACTATTGTGAGATGACATAATTATGAAAAATACAATATAATTTGAGCATAGAGATATTTGTCATATATTATATCTAATAAAAATTCTATTAAATTTAAGGCAATCTCAAAAAAGGATGGGCTTGTCCCTCAAAACTAGAATGTATTTGAGAATAAAAAAACCTGTTTTTATATGTTTCTTATATCGCTATAATTTGTAATTGTTTTTTGTTTTAGCTTTAATAAATAAAGCACTACAAATTTTTATTTTTACTCTATTAAATTTTCATGACCATTTTCACTATATACTATGACAAAAAATTATTATTAAAAGATGATAAAAAAATAAATGTTTTCAGATGTATAATTCAGTCCATATTTATATATATATTGATACTCTAAGTTCATATCAAATTTGGCTTGAATTAACTAATTAATAGAAACAGGCATTGCTAATCTAACTAACAGACATTTTTACTTGCTACTTTCCTTCACAATTTAAATTTTATTCTTCATAATTCTTATAATTACACATATAATAAAGCTTCAATTTTATGAAATTATTTTCATAAAAGGCAAAAAAATTATCATGATTGCTGAAAGATTAAATTCATTTTTACTTACAAGGAAAGGCTATACTCCATAGAATACAGATTTGGCTCATTTTTGCTATCAACTAATGTATGTCAATATGTGATTATATACATACCTTTATAGAGATGCCATTGGACACTTATCTACTCTCAAGGAAAAACAATTTAAATTTTAAAACATTCCTAATTAATTTTAAAACATAAATTCATAAGAAGAATCATTAAAATTTCAATATTTATTAGATTCAGCTTTGGTCTACATCACTGAAAACTTAAGATCAAGTTGTTTTAAAATTTATTTTATTTTTCTTTAATTAAAAAAAGACAATTCAAATTTTATTTTTTCAATCCAACTTTTATTAATTTTTTTAGTTTTTTATTATATTCTAATATTCCAATACTGTCATTAATTGTTTAGGCCTACAATATAATTTCAGTGAAAACAATATCAAATAATTATTCTATAAAAAAACTTTAAAAAGTTTGTGTTTAAGCTATTCCAATAACAGCAATGTCATAAGTTTAAAATGCTTTTTTATTAGTAAAATTTAAACTTTGTAATCAAATACAGCTCTTCTGTTTTGAAATTATTAATATAAACTTATTAATCATACATGATATGAATAAATGCTTAGTATATTTAAGCAAATGTTGATTATATTTTTTTTATAATTTATAAAAATGCATTAAAATAATTATCAGTGAGTGAAATATTTTTTATTCCATGATGTATCTATGATGTATGTTCCATGAAATCTATAATCAATCATCAATGTTATAATTCTGAAAAATGTTGAGTATCTTTCATTTTAGTTTTAATACCAATAACTGTAAATAGACTTATTTCTGTTTCTTTTATTGTATTGAAAATGAGCAGGTAATAAGTTACATTTGTTTTGCAGAAATTATTCTATAGGTCTAAGCAATTCATATTAGTATTAAGTATAGCATTAAAGTACTATGAAATAGATAAAAATAAAAAATTTGGATTAAAAAAAAATATTTTTAAAAGAGAGATAAATATAAACATGTATAAACATCGTTGTTACTCATTTCATGATCTACAATACTTTAGATCAAATTTGTTAGATCAATGCTTAGAAATCCAAACTTGACTAGAAAGAAAATTTTAACAAAAGTGGAAAAGCACTTGCTGAAGTAGTATCTTCATTGTCTTCTCCACTTGGTTGTGTACAGGTGGATGATGATCATTTTGAGACTATATTTGTGTGTACAATTATGATGCATTTTCTAGTATAGCAATAATATGTTTTATAATTTTCAGTAATTTGTATATAAAGAATAAATTAATTAATAAAATTACCTGTAACTACACTTGCTGAAGCAGTATCTTCACTGTCTTCTCCACTTGGTTGTGTACAGGTGGAAGATGATCCAGTAGAAGCCTCAGATATAGTTGAAATGGAAGAGAAAGGTGGAAGAGAGCAATTGGAAGGGCATGGAGAAGGTGGCTTTCCTCCTAAAGGTAATTCTAGTCTTGGATCACTGTGAGTTCGACTTAGTGGCGTAGCACTGGCCCGACGACGAGGGTTATACTGAGGAGCTTCCCGGTATGGCACTGCAACAGCAGAACCTGGCTGTAAGCAGCTCTGTCCTGGGTTTGCAACTGGGGCAAAGGTAAGTAATGACTAGGTTTTATGTTACTCTCCTGATTATTGATTTAACACTATTAGTAATAATTGCATGTGAATTATATCATAAGCAAGATACTATATCCAAATTACTGTGGTATTGTTTTTATTTTATAGAAGATAGATTATAAGCTTTGGAAAGAATGATTTTATAGATTTTGTATTATATTTTAGTTCTTGAATCTACTTTTAAAGAATGTTATTTCTATGTTGGAAATTTTATAAAAGTGTTAATTTTTAATTTATCATTAGCAAGGAATGTTTTTGCTATAAATGTGTGAGTATGTTTAATGGATTGGGCTTAAATAAATTTATTTTATATCAAATATAATTTTAATAATAGAAGAGTCCAAATTCTTACAAATCAATTTATACTTTAATTTAAAAATATACTATTTTATAAAAAAAATACTTATAACAATTTAGTTTAAATAATAAATTATAATTTATTAAAAAGTAATTTTTTAAAAATAAAAATTTTTAAAAATCATTTCAGAGATGATCTATCAATTACATAATAAAAAGTATATTTAAGGTTAATATCAATCTAAAAATAATATACATAAATCAAACATTTTTAAAATGTATTTACTATAAATATCATAGGACTATAATAACAGAATAGAAACTGTCAATGATACATTCTTCAATAAACAATTTAAAGTTTTAACTTTATTTATTTTTAAAAATGTTCAAAAAATAAAAATTTTATATCAAACTGATTAATTAAATCTTGTATATTAATATGTACAGTACATTCAATTCTATTCATTCAATCAATTAAGAAATTTGAATATATAACCTTGTTATTTGAATAGTTGGATGGCCAAAGTGGTAAAGATGTCAGTTTGCTGTGGAGACCCAGGTTCAAGTCTGGGTCAGGTTTAAAAAGGTTGGATGGATGGTGAGGAAATAGGGCCCTCACCATCCATCTGTCCCACTGTGAGTCTGGAAAACACATAACAGCCAGGAAAAAAAGCCCTCACTGTCTACAGGGTAAAATGAGTAAAAAAATTTTATCATCATCAGATCAGGTAATATCCAAAAGAAATTAATAGTCAAAATAGCTGGTCAAATATTATCATAACACTTAAGATGCTATTGAAACAAATCTGTATTCACAGTTTAAAATGATGATTTGTTAGTTATTTTCATACAATTAAAGAAAATAATGCAATGTAGTAAGTGTTTTAAGATTCTCTGTTAATTATCATTGTAAATTCTTATTATAAATTCAATAAAAAATGTTCTTAATATTTTACATAAAAGTTTTATGTTATTGTGATAACATACAAACTGATTTCATTGATATTCTTTACTATATATCCTGATCAAATTACTAAAGAGGAAAAAATGTTTAATTAAAAAAAATTTAATGTTCGCTTAATATTGCATTGTATTCAAAATCACATCATCACTGTAAAAAATAATATAAAACAGTTATATAGCATATAATATTTTACATTCATGATTTTGTTACTTCTGAATTAAAAACAAATTAATTTTAATGAATTGCTTTAAAAAAGTATTTTCAAGCTACCTAACATTTTAATTTCATTCAAAATAATATATTAAACTTAATTGTTAATAACTTCATGCACTGTTTGATTTATGTAATACTTTAAAAATAAATAAATAATCAAATAATATATATATTTTTCCACTCACTCTATATTTCATCTGGTTATATATACTTCATCTTATTGATAGCTTACCTATATCCTCAGGCCGGTGATTTTTTATGATTTCAGCAAGAGTAAGATTACCAGCAATCACAGCAACTTGATAAGGATTTTGGTTAGCATAATTAAGAGCATTTTTATCAGCACCACGAAAAAGTAAAACTCTTGCACTACTTTCTTGATCATTAACAGCACAAACATGGAGGGGAGTATTACCACTTGCATTTCGAGCATTCATATCAGCACCATAAAACAAAAGATGTTCTAGATGTTGAACTAAACCATGTTTACATGCCTAGATGGAACAAATTTATCTTTAATTAATAAAGCTGAAATAAATGTCTAATTAATATGATATATATGTAAATATGTAAAAACTTCATGAAATACATGCTTAATTGATCATTCTTACTGACTCAATTAGTAAAATAAAACAGCCATTACTTGATGAACTTCTTGCCATCCTTGTGGATCAGCAGAGCCAATTGATGCATGGTCATGTAACAACAATTCAGTTAACTGAGGATCACTACCATATAATACTGAATAATATAAAGCTGTTAATCCTCTAGCATCTTTGTAATTGGGAGAAGCTCCTAAGTCAAGCAAAGTCTGTAATACATATTAAGAGTTATAATTTAGTCAATAAACTCTAAATACTTTCTATAACCATAATGACAATAATTCTTAATTGCCATATTCAATGAAATTAAAAAATATTAAGTTTAAAATATTGAGATTCAAAATATAAAATACACAGTATAGAAAACATAGCTACCTAAAAAAAATCAAAACCTAGACATAAAACATATTTAATTCTTATAGTATCAAAGAACAGAGATTCAAAAATATGCATAATCAAAAAATCTTACTGGAACTAAATCAAATAATATAAGTAAACAACGCCTTTTTAACAGTCCAGCAAAAACATTTAATTCTCTAAAAACATTTTCGACCGATTTAACGGCCTTCATCAGTTACTCCAATATCAAAAAGAACAAAGTATTCAAAATTTACGTAATACAAAATTAAATAAAATTAAATTAAACTGCGGTTGCACAGAACAACGGAAAAAATAAAAATACATAAATAAATAAATAAATAAAAATAAACAAATAAACCCAAATAAATATTAATGCCGTCATCATGGATACATATATTAACTTGTGTTAGTATAAAATGACTTCCAAGCAGTTGCCAAACCTTCTGCATCTCTGTGATTAATACATTCCGTGGCTATATGCGCTTTATGTATTTCTATTTTTTCAAGATGCTTCACCGCTTGTAATGATCTCGTGGCCCTAAAGATCGCCGCACGATCCCAGTAAACGGTTACATCCTGTTGTTTGGCAAATGTCGCCAGAACAGTACTATCGATGTTCCTACCTACAGAATATTTATGCTCATTTATCCTTTGTTTTAAACTCCGCATAGTTGCCCCAACATACACGAGGTCGGAATTAAACCGACGATCTGTTATAGGTATAGAATATATACCCGTCAAGCTATTGCGATTAACCTTCTTCTTGTCATTCCTTAACATTCTATACACAGTTGGATTGCGTCGATATATTATTCGTAACTTATTTTTATTGGCAACTTTCCTATCTATCTTGTTTAGAAATGGAAAATAATTAATTACCACATTTTTTCTTTGATCAATTTCGGGAGGTTGCTGGTTTTGCTTCTGTATTCTTTTAATAAGTGCCTCAATCTCTTTTCTGTGGTATCCCTGTTGCGCCGCTGCCTTTTGTATGTAATCTAATTTCTCGTACGTATCATATAAACTCATGCAGTGGGTGTAGGCTCTTTTAATCCACGCTCTAAACGCCGCATATTTAACGTGCTTAGTATCTGTCGAATTCTTTGGGATGATAATAGGTTGATAAACCGGTTTGCGATATATGCCTGTCCATATTTCCCCTTCCTTACAAGTAATCGATATATCCAGGAAGTTAACATTCTTCCCACTTTCTTGGTCTAAACCCAAAGTCAACCCATATGGATTATCGTTGATCTTGTCCATAAAATTCTGTGTGTTGTCATCATTTCTCCACAAGATGAAGATGTCATCGACATATCTGGAGTATATTACTATATCGTTTCTAAAGATGGGTATGATACTTCTTTCGAGCTGACGTAATACTAATTCACATAGGACAGCCGACATTGGGCTGCCCATGGGGACGCCCCTTCCTTGAAGATAGGTCTTCCCTTCAAAAACGAAAAACGAAGTATTACAAACCAAATCGGCCAGTTCTAAAATGTGTTTGTGGTATTTCCTAGGATTTTTAATGTTGGTAAATAGAAAGTCCCTCAAAGCACAAAAACAGGGTGCTAATTTTATTGAAGGGTATAATGCTTTGTAATCCATTACTGTCATATATTCCTTGTCCTTAAGCGTAACCTCCCTTAGTTTCTGCACCAGTTGTATCGAACTTTTTATGGAAAAGGGGTACTCCTGAATTTTATTTCGTATAAACCTGACCAGCTGCTTTTCAATAGCAAAAGTAGGCAAACTGCATTTTTCTATAACCGGGTGTAGTTGACAACCTGGTTTATGGGTTTTCCCAAAAGTGAAAATTTTTGGTGTTCTTGGAGCTCGAATGACAGAATTCTCCATGTTTAATAGATTTGCTAAAGGAGTGAGGGTGAACTTCCTGACCCTTTGCTGCAAAGACTCTAAAAAGTTTTCAGGAGCATCAAGGCATTCTGTATTTCTGATGTATTCCTTTAACTTATTGTTGTAGGAATCTCGCTTGATAAGTACTATACCTTTAGACTTATCCGCTTTCATAAGTACTATATCCTTTCTCTGCATCCATTTTCTTGCTTCTTTTATGCAGTGGTGGAAGCGTCTTGTATTCATGTTATCCATTTTTTCTTTTTCAGTGCGATATCTTGTTTGCCATCTGACGTAATCCTGATTCGTGGTATCCATACCCTTTATAATAACCTCAATATTAAAAAGGCATTGTTTACTTATATTATCAAAAATATGCTAAAATACTCTAAAAACATTAAGCCCCTAGAAGAGATTTCCATTTTTAAATGACTCTTTATCTTTGAAAACAGTGTTAATATCATGTATAAGTTGACAATTAAATCTCAAGTTTCTAGAACTAGTCCATTACAAAAAATATAAGTAAAGCCATTATAAATCATCAGGTTACATTAAATGCATCTTGGTTGATTATTGCTTGATCTAGTACCTCCTTTCTGTGAGCTTATTCATATTTTGCTTGCCATTTATGAGCAAGTAAATGAGAGATTATGTATTGTATAAATTGTTATCACTATTTATATAATAATGGAGTAAAGAGCAAACATTAAATTTTGTTTCCATCTGAGTAAAAATGCTACCAAAATCTGATCCTGTTACAATAAAATATGTAATATCACTCTATACTGATAATTACATATATTTTGAACAAAACTAATGATTACAGAACTAAATTATCACTTAAAATTATTTCCTACAGCCTACCTACATTAGAAACCTATTAATCTGGAAATCCAGTTTATATGAGTCTGGATAAAAGTAGAATAATGTTAAATAAAATTTAAGAAATTAATTAATGGTATGTTTGTGCAAATATTTCATGGTTATAGTTGTTGTACAACTTACTTTGTTATTTAAAAAATATTTATAACCACTTTGAAGCTATTAAGATATTTGAGAAGTTGCTGTACTATACAGTACTTGCAGTGCAAGATAGCACAGTCAACTCCCAATTTATAGATAGTATGGTAATGGAAGGTTCACAGACCATAGTATTTTGAATTCCATAGTAAATATATAAATTTCTTGAAAATAACTGTATGATAATAGGCACTCTACTATGCTTTTAATATGTCATAAGGGAACGAAACAAAGTAAAATGCACATTACAATATCGAAAATATATCTCATTACCAATCACACAGATTTTACTCATTTAAAAGCTTACAATAGAATCTTTTAAATTAAAAATTATGATTCCAGTAATTAATCATACATTAATTATTTTAATATAGCTATTTTAAATATAGTTTTTATATATAGTATTTAATATAGCATTTAATTTAATAATTAAATTAGTATTTAATATAGTATTTAATATAGCTAAATTTTAAATAGCTATAAAAATTATAAAAAGTACCCTACATTAACCTAAAAACACTCAGCACTTTTTTTAAATTTAACAACTACACATACACAATCAAGAACAATATGACTCTTTTTCATGTATATTCCTGCAGCCACTGACTATGGTAAATCCTCAATCTGATAAATCCATCCACCACTAAATCAGAAGTTGACTGTACTTTATTTGGTAAATTATTGATACTCAAATGACAGATTCTATGTCTTGGAAGCATATGTTGATTCTTAAAAAAAAAAAATATTTTGGACTTTGTTGATTGAAGACATATGTGGCTGAAGATGTTATATTACAAAATGAAAGTTTTGAGTGAACTGATGTTCAAGCTTTAATTATGTAATTACTTCAGTGTAATTATATCCATGAAATAGTGTGTTACAAAGAGTATTACTATGTCATTTAATTTTTGAGATCTTTGATGGTAATATATGAGAGATGGATATATTACAATTTCATCCACACAAGACAACTTGATTTTGAATGATTGTAAGAATAATACTTTCATCCATCCATATCTTCAATTTAAATAATATCTTGATTAATTCAAAACCTGCATTATATCTTGTCTTTACAATGCATTATTGGAATATCAACACAAAAATAAACACAATCAAATCAAAACAAATCCTGGGCATATCTTCTGGCTCATCATTAGTTTAATGATGTCTACTTTATTTCCAATAATTCATTGTAAAGACAAGATATAATTATAAAATAAATGAAATAGAAAAACAAAATACTTGAAATGGAACTACAGTAGAGCATCGATTATCCGAAACAATTTGGGACTGGGGTTGTTCGGATAACTGATCATGTATGGAAAAAGAAAAAATATATTAACCTATCCATTCCATGTTGAAATTTTTCTCCGCTGTGTGTCACTTAGCATTGAATTTTCACCAATGTTAAGCCTAACAAAAATTTTAAAAAAATAATCATCATGGCTATTGTATTGTTAAAAATTATTTCTTTATTTTGCACAAAATAAATATATTGAAAAATATAAAAACAAAAAGATTATATTTCAGAAGTTAATCTAGTATCAAAAACATTCCGATTCAGCACGATACACGTCCCGACAACAGTCCTCAGAAAAAACCACACAAAACAAGCAAAACTCTTTCTTTTTCTTGGGTTTATCTGGAGATGTCAGCCGCTTGGGCTATATTCTCCGACGAGCTGAAGCAAACATACCACTCACAATGGGGGAAAAAAGCCTCATTCAAATACTGGTGCATCCTTAAATACCCTCTCGACATGTGTTGTGCTGAATCAGAATGTTTTTGATACTAGATTAACTTCTAAAATATAATTTTTTTGATTTTATATTTTTCAATATATTTATTTTGTTTGTGCAAAATAAAAAAATAATTTTTAACGATACAATATGTTCGTGCCAGTGTTACCAGCTAAAACACGCATACCAACAAAAATAATACTGGAGTAGCCCAAGACATAGCCAAATATTGCAGTGCCACAGCACTAGCAGCAGAAATTTGAATTTGCTGACTGGATTGCTTTTAGTTAACTGATGTTTCGGTTGATCGGTATTCGGATAATCGATGCTCTACTGTATCTAAACTAAATTAGGTATTAAAATTATTTTATGATTTCATTTTGTTTCTATTTTATTTATTAACTAATATTGATTAAATATATAACAATAAAAATAATAATACTAATAAATGCTAATATAACTCTAAAAAAATTAAATAGAACAAGATATTTAATGTTGGTAATATGTGTAGTATATTTTTTAAAGAAGCTCTTGGTAAATTTAGACAAAGAAAAAATTGGTGATTGAGTTTATAATTGCAATTTAAAATTGACACAAAATCCACTGCTTCAAAATTGCCTTTTAAACACAAAATCCATTGATTATTTATATAAAATTATGATATGCTAAGCAATCTTAAATGCTAATAATTTTTCAGAAGTCTTACCATTTTTTTTTTACAAAATACAGTTGTCCCTCGATAATCCGACAGGTATGGGACCAAAGGTGTGTCGGATTACCAAAAGTGTCTGGATTACCAAAAATAATTACATATTTCGCATTGTTTTGCTAGCAGTAACTTACAATATTCTCTACTCCAACTGTTTGAACAGAAATGCTCACATAAAACACATGAAATGTGTGTCATCGAGTAAGAATTAGATGGGGAGATTCACATCGCGACATGCTTCTGTGCAAGCAGACACGTAACGGGGACGGGTACCTTGACACGAGTGCGTCGGACTACTGAGCATGTCGGATTAAAAAACGTCAGACTATCGAGGGACAACTGTAGTAAGATTCCTTAAAAATTACTAGTGTTTAAGATTATTTAATTATAACATGGAATCAGAAGATAAATCTAAAACTATGATATGCTTTCTTTAAAGAAACAAAGTTAAATTATTTATTTGATAGAATAAACTTTTTTCTTTAGTTTTAAATTAAAAATATAATTCATTAAAATATCTTGTATATTTGACAATACAAAATTTATCTATTAAAAGGCTATGAAAAATATTTATTATATTGCAATAGTAAAAGATTTATATACCTTCAAAGCCTCATAGTTGTTTCGTTCTACTGCTTTATGCAAAGATGTTTGTCCATCTTTAGTTCTAAAATCTAATAGTGCTCCACCATTTACTAGAGCCATTATGACTTTGGCAGGAACCTTTAAAGTTGTAGCAACTGTAAGTGGTGTTTCTGTAAGATAAAATGTTTGATCTAAATGTATTTGTTAAAAACAAGAAATGTTTATATTAACAGCTGTAGTAAAAAAAAAAAATTGAAAAATATTACTATTTACAAAGGCCATTATAATTTTCTGGAAATCTTTATTAATTAAATACATGTATTATTTGTTCATAATGGAAGTTCCAATTATAATTTTAAAAACATCTTTTCAGGAAATCTAAAATTCTTAGTTTATTAGATATTTCTGAGAGTATTTAATTTTCATCTTTAGAATTCTAAAATAGTTATTTTTTACTAAATTAGCAAACTAAAGAAAGTTATTACATTTCATTTATTTTAATTAATTGTTTTTTTTATGTAGTCATTTTCATTACTTTCCTTCAAAATTCTTTGAATCAGTATTTGATTTTTAATCATTAATGTTGCAATTAATGTATGGATGTCTAAAATTGAAAATTCATGTAAATCTTTCTAATTGTATTATAGATATGGCAATCACGTATGTGATTTTTATTCCAATAGATTCAAATTAAAAACATTTATAGTTTTAAACATTAAATTATAACTTCCATTTTAAAAAAATGGAAGTATTTTTTCTTTAGTTGTTTTTTTTAAATAGTTTTTCAGTTCAAAAACAAAAATTCTAAAAGGCAGAGGTGATGATTTTTCCATTAACTAATGATAGAACAATGATTTCTTTTTATGTATATATCAAAATACAGTAGAATCCTGATTATCTGAGATAATGTGGACTGATACTACTTCAGATAACTGAAAATTGGATAAAACAAACTGCCATGACCATTTCAAATTTTAAATTATGAATATAAAAGAGTTATATAGTATATCTACATACCAACAGACTGCCGAAAATCTATCGGGCTAGTTTTATGCTAATTATTAAATAAATTACGTAATCAATTTGGCACTAGAGGTAAGCGTTAGGCGCCATCTCTTATTAATATTAATAATTATAAATTAATTAATTAATTTAAATAATTTAGAACCACTGGGAGAATAGGTTATGGTTATATAGTTAGCTTATATACGCTGGAAGAGGAGATTGGACTGGAGGTCCNTCATTAGAAAGAAGACAAAATGTAGAAATTAAAAGTATAATTGTAGTTTTTGATGTAATGTTGACAATTTCACGGTTTTAGAATAAAAACTTATTTGTTGTTTGATGCACCCTCTAGAGAATGATGTATAACTAGGGATTGCAATCCAGCAGTGTTTTTAATCCAGCTGGATTTTTGCTGGATCAACATCATTCCAGCTGGATCCAGCGTGGATGTATTTTTGGTGCAATAAAGTGTTATCTATCTATCCAGAAATTTATGGGTTTTTTTAAAGAAATAAAACATTTTTTTTTAAAATAGTGTACTTAAGAAACTTTTATTATTTAGACTGGTCACTATAAATCAGTAAAACTTCTTACACATTTAGATAGTAAACTTAACTTTGGTTCAGTTTAATACTTGAGATAGAGATAATTAACTTTAAATGTTTATAATTTTTTCGTCCGATGGTTCTTTCTACTTTTTAATATTTGAAGACAAGTTCGCCCAAATAGGGATCACCATTTTCTCTTTTGCGTTCTAGACAGTACATTTCCGGCAATCGACCTTCCTTTCTAGGCTACTAACCTTTAAAAAGTTTTAAAAGAGTTCTTTTAAAAAACAAAAAGATATCCAATTAAAAACACAAAAGATTTTAAAGCTCTCTTCTGTGGATAAAAGGCTGAAACACCCCCAAGAAAGTACATATGGTAACAAACAAGAAAGACGTTCGTATAACACCAGTTCTGATTTTAGAAAATCTTTGTGTTTTTAATTGGAAATCTTTTTGTTTTCTAAAAGAACTTTTTTAAAACTTTTTGGCGGCTAGTAGCCTAGAAAGGAAGGTTGGTTGCCAGAAATGTACTGTCTAGAACACACAAATGGTGATCCCTATCTGGGCGAACTTGTTTTCAAATATTTAAATGTTTAGTTAGATTATAATTATAATGTAATCTTTAAGTTAAATAATAGCAAAGGTAATTCTACTAATTAATTTATATTAATATGTATCACTTAAAAAAAATTTAATGAAGATATTTATCTTAATTATGAAAATATACTAGCATGTTTTTAAATTTTTGGAACCTAACCCTCCTTTTCGTATTAGTTCTTTGTTTCGTATAACACGGATTCGCATAACACGACAATTTTTTGGAACATAACTACCGTGTTATACGGGGGTTACCTGTAATTACTTGTTTAATTAATTATTAAAAACAAAAACTTTCTTTCAAAAATAGGCATATGGTGTTGAAAATTAATTGTGATAATTGTCTATGAATGAGGTTGANTTATATGTATTTTGTATTATATTGTATTAATAAACAAAATTATTAGCTTATTTTTCACTTATGTAGAACCTAACCCTATACTTCACTGTAAATACGGGTTCGTTTTACGCCGATTCGATTTGCGCCGGCTTTTGTAGGAACGGAACTGCGGCGTAAACCGAGGGCTACCTGTACTTGTTAACTTTTTCAGATTGACACTTGTATAATAAGAGTAATTTAAGTACATCTCAAATAGATTTCAGAATGTTATGAGATTCTGAAATGGTAATATTTACTAAATATAAGCTTAAATTATAAAATTTCTTCACTTACTCTTGTATGTAATTGTTTGATGTGTTTTTCATCCATATTTGTCATCTTGTAAATCCTCCTCTTGTATCTCAACTTGAAAAAACAATCATTATTGTTGTAAATATAGATATTTATTTATAATTACGTATATATGTATATGCATACAAACAACATACTTTAAAAATATAGTAGAATTTCAATAAATTAAAATATCAACTTTTGTCTTAATTGCTTTTATTTTTTCAAACTTTATGTATTGTATCACTAACTATTCACAGATTGATTTTTCTTCATTTTTTGATGTTAGAAAATTAATAAAAATGTTATCTTAGAAACTCATGAAACACAATGTAATTCACTTTTAAATATTTAAAATAAAAGTTGTAAAACTTCAGAAATTTTTAATTTTTTGTATTTTTTTTAACAGAAAAAATACTTAAAGTAATTGTTATTTAATGCATATTTATGAATTGGATTTTAAAATAATTCTTAAGTTAATTAATAAATAATTTTATTGCTTGCTATAGTTCAAAAATTTCATATAATTGTGCATAACTATAATTTTGGTACTTAAGAATTTTAATAATTTGTAATTTTTGCAAAATTTGCATTTTTTTTAAATAAAAATTCTATTTTGAATAAACACAAGTGATAAATATGATATACTTATTTATAACTCAGCTTAAATCTATATACATTGAAATATCTTTATAACACAAGCCTAGAACAACAAAATTATCAGTAAAGCAAATTTATTTTCAATTCCCTACCTCTTAATAATACATCTTATTATAAAATGTTTCAGTTTAATGAATATCACTGTAACAAAAATTTCAGTTTAACAAAATAAAAGTTTAACCCTTTACAGTAATAAACACCACCTTCCTTACACCTTTTAGATTATTTATTGTATCAACCTTTTACAAAAGAAAAGTATCATAATGAATACAATTTCTGTAATTACTCAGGATATATTTCTTCATACTTGAAGGTTTAGACTATTTACAAAGTTTTAAGAAGTATATTCTTCAATAAAACCCATGTTAACTGTTACTTCTGGTGTGTATTAAAAGGATTAAGATAGACTCGAAAATTTGATATTTTTGTAAATAGTCTAAGCCTTCAAGTATGATATCATAATGAAATCTACAAATGTGCAATTAGTTTTCTTTCATTTTCAATGGATATTGAAGATGTTCCAGTTAGCAAATATATTGAAATGATGTGACAGTTTAGGAATTTTTTGGGAATATTCTAATTATACATTATGTATAATAAGAAATAAGACATCTTTCGGCAATAAACAATGGCTGTAAGGAGAGAGACATGAGATTATTAGTATGCCATTACTTCAGGTATTAATTGTTTGTTGATGACTATGCTGCAAACTTTTAGTTAAATTGGCAGCCAGATGATTGATGTAATAAAGATATTAGCCTGTCAAACTCTGAGGAACCTGTACTTGAATAGAATTTGTAATCTCAAAAATTTTTCATGGTCCCATCACCCACAATCTAATCTGACCAAATTCTCAACAGGCATGATTAAAAGGCTATCTTGGTGTACATAAGAAGGCTATCATAAGAAAGAGTCAAATAAAAAAAGTCAGGAACATAAATTTTTAATTGACTATTGGTTTTTACACAATTTTACAAGTTAAATTTGTTTTAACTAGCAATATTAAAAAACTAATTTTAAAAAATTGCTTATTCACAAAGTACAGTGGAACCTTGCTTAACGAACACTTCTCATAACAAGTAATTCGCATAATGAGCAAAATAAATTGTAAAAAAAATGACTCGCTTAACGAGCGACGTTTCACATAACAAGTGACCATGAGAGGGAAAGTCCCTTGTGCGCATGCTATATCAGTCTGTGTACTTAGTGTTGCTTGTGATCACACATTTTTCTAAACTTGTGTTTATATGTAATATGTCTGATATTACATATAAACAACAACCATAGCCTGTTATATAATAAACACGCCAAACAATATGCCAAATTCTTGGGCTATGTAAAGGCTATAATTAAATATTAGAAATTAAATAATTTGACTAGAGGTAAGCAGTTATGCTGCCATCCAGTATTAAATTTAATGACCGATTCCAAATTATGCAAATCGAATTTGCATTCCAGGTTGGTTCATTCCGCGCTAGAAGAAAAGATGACGATGATTCACACTCCTTAACAATGTATATTGTATAATTTTATTTAATAAACATTATACATAAAATATTTGAGTATTTTTTGGCATGGAATACATTATCATATTTTACATTCATTTATATGGGAAAAATTGTTTTGATTAACGAGTAAGATTCTGGAATGAATTATGCTCATTAAGCAAGGTTCCACTGAATGTTTATAACATACAGAAGATGGCAAAAGAGGGAAATTATGGGAGAATTTTTACACTTTTGGACTCAGGGAACCTTGAAATGTTGAGAAATGCAAAAAAAAAGTTTTGAGATTTTTTCTGTAGGTATGAATGTGTGAGCATGTGTGCACAATTTTGTTCACCCAATTTCAAGCTTAATAATTCCCATAACTTTTTGAAAATTTCTGAAATTTTGCAGGGAGGTTTGTATATTAGAGGGATCGATGCTATAAAATTTTGGTAGTTAAAGGTCAAAGGGATCATGGATCATATTTTGAGTAGTGTCAGACTATGAAGATTTTATTTGTTATTAACATTTACAATTTTTTATAAAATTAATCTCTACCCTCAAAATTAAGCCTTTTGCCAGCCATTTTATAACAACTAAAAATATAAAAAGTTTTTTATAACAAAATCTCATAAACAACAACTCCACACACCNATTAATAAGAGATGGCGCCTAACGCTTACCTCTAGTGCCAAATTGATTACGTAATTTATTTAATAATTAGCATAAAACTAGCCCGATAGATTTTCGGCAGTCTGTTGGTATGTAGCTTTATATATCGGGTTTGGATGATGTATATATAGTATATCATTCTTTTTATGTCTTAGTAAATTTAATTATATATAAGAACATCATTTTTACATCATATCATATCATATAGCAAATATATCATAATATGTACAATAGTTTTAAGAATAGAAATAGTTGTATTTTAATGATATAAAAGGTTTGTCTCACATTGAAGTTAAGTGAAAAAGATGACAGAAACAAATCATTTTGTAACACAGAGTAAGAAGTCAATTCTGAACTGTTCTTTTTTGTTTGGGTTCTGTTTTTCTTATTTATTGTTGACATTTTATTTTCATTAAAGATAGATTATTGCACTTCATCCAGGTAAAATGAAAAAAATAAAAAATAAATAAAAAAAAAAACAAACTCACCTTACTACAACAACTGATGGTGGCAACCTATTACGTAATTGAACTCTGAAGCAACATTTTGGGGGAAGACCTCCTCAGGAAGTTAACAGAATGATCTCCCACCCCAAATTGTCACCCAAAAAGAAACCACAAAATTTTAGAAACAATTAAATGTAAGGGTGATGACATGACTTAACAAAGATTACTAGAATTACAGAACGTTAGCTATTTAAGTATGTAAATTGGGTTGAGTGGGCATAATTTTGTAATGTCACCACAACTGCACTATAAGAAGAGGTGAAACTAAGAATCAAACAAGGTGCTGCTAACGAGGTTAAACAAAGACTTTCAAATACCATTGATGATGTAGAAGTATCTTGGTGACAGTTAGGCAACTTTATTTGTAAGATTTATTGTAAATTTTGATATATTTCAATTTTCTCTTGTCAGTTTTGTGGAGATAAGTATAAGATAGTTATAATTTAAGCCCCCAATTGTGAGAAAAGTTTATTGTACATATTTGTTTTTTTGGATTTGATAAATTATTGACAAGACTATGTCTTGTTTATAAAATTGTACTGCCTGCTGGGTAACCAGCTTAGAGGTATGAACTACCGAAATTTCCAAAAACAAAAGATCAATTAGAAAAAAGTGGTGCTATTTTTTTAAGTATGTAACATGTCAGGAGTTGCAATTTGGCACAGAGTATTAGTTGCCCAAATCACGCATGCATAAAAAGAACCAGACTTGTAGGTACTCAGGGAACCAAGAACAGAGTCAAAATAAAATTCAAAATGGTGACACACTATAAACAGGCAGTAGCGCAAGATTTGCGCATGCATCACTCATTGAAAAGTTAGAAATGCAAATGTTGAGAAATCAAATTTTGACAAACGCATGCATTGGTAAGTTCAAAATGAGAAATCGAATTTTTTCAAACGAATCTTTAAAAAAACCCATTTACCTTTTTCCGTGTTATTCCCAACATATCTATGGTCATGTGCTGACCTTCACTGGCTGACCTGAGATATCTCATTTTAGCATCAGAAACTTTTTTCAAAGTAGATGGTGCTAGTTGTTATAATTTTATATTAAAACTAATAAAACTAATTTCCTAAATATAATTTGTTTTTTTTCTACATTTATATATATATATATATATATTGTTTGTGGTTTGTGCAAAATAAAAAAATAATTTTGGATGATACGATAGCCAGGATTATTTTTTTTCAAAAACAGGAAATTTTCGTTAGGCATTGACAAAAATTCAACCTGGAGTGACACGCAACATTGAGAAATTTCAAAATTGGATAGGTTAATTTCACCAAAAATGTATCATGGAAAACCTCGTGGTCGTGGCCGGCAAAGTTTGAAAGATTGCACTCAAAACCAGCAATACCAAAGATTGGAGAATGAGAACGAGATCCGCCTTAAGCATCAAAGTGATTCCGCTTAGTAGTGAATCTCTGAGACATAGTCTTGTCCCAAATATGGCTTTTCTGTTTTACTTGTCTTTTTATTATTTTTGAATTTCTCACTAACTTATTTCATTATTGTACATATTCAAGCTTAGACTAATAGATATTTTTGTGTAATATATAGTAATTATTTTGGGCTTTTGATTTCTTAACAATTTTTTGTTATTCATCACTCATGTAAAGTCCAGGCCTGGCACTAACTGGCAATAACACTAATGTTTATGTAACACACCATTAGGATGTTACCCAGGCTGTCAATCGTATTTAAATAAAACATTACAACAGTTTAGAATTTTATGCTTTCTTTTATAAATTACAGTATAAGAAAAGTATAACATACAGCATTATATTATAGTTTTCAAGACAAAATCACTACCTTTCTCTTGAAAGCTACTCATGTTTCTCTTACCAATTGGAAAATAAAGCTCATGACTTTGGCAAAAAATTTGAAACCTTATTAACAGTGGCTGATTTACTGTGATTAATGCTGACCAATCAAGCCTTCAATATGAAGCAAAAAAAATCATTTGCATATGTTGGTTCCAGAAAAGTCAAGAAAGCTGTGCAATCAGTTAATCCCACAACACATTTATTCACTGTCATGCCAATAATTTCAATGGCTGGAATTCTCCATTGTCAAATGTTCATCTCATTTCAAAAACACACCAGAAAATTCAAATTCAAGTTTCAATGTTGGTTGAAACTGCCAAATTTGGTATTTGATGCAAGTTCAAGTGGCATCATGACAAAGACTGCAAAAATTTTGCTGAAAAAGTTGTGCATCACATATTGAGTGATTAAAAAGACACTCTTTTTATTCTCAACCAGTGGACACCATATACAGATAATACAAATTCAAGAAGCCATTAATGCAGATAAAATGTTAACTATTGAAAATATCCCTGGACAATGTACTATATTCATTCAACTGCTTGATCATTATGGCCAAAACTGTTAGTTTGATTAAAGAATAATTTGCTGAAAAGTACATAAGATAATTTGTGTGTTACTAGTTACTGTCTAATTCCAGCTTATGTCAATATTGATTATTGTGAATCTTTCAACAAGCACTATAACATTTTGTATGATTAAAAGTTCATATTTTGTTTTAAAAAAATCGAAAATTTGATAAAAATTTCATCTTCTGATAAGTTTTTCCTTTGAGAAAATCAGTTTTTTTTTTTTTTTTATTGATACTCATTAGCTTCATGTGTTTTTGATTGATGTAAATTATGCCATAATTATGCATTTGTTTCTCTGTAAATTGTGTTAAAGAGAAATAAATGCAGATTCCTAATATGGATGTCTCTTGCAATTTTAATCAAATTTTACATATTAATTGATTAAAAATTAAAATGATCAGCTAACAGTATTAATTTCTGAAGAAAAAATTATTTTTATGACTATTAAAATAATTGTTATATAAAATATACATTTCAAAGAAAAAGCTGTAAAGTTTATAAGAAAGTGGCTCATAAGTTAGATATTTTTAATTTTTTATTTATTAAATTCATCATTTTTGAATTTATTAATCCCATTTTCAAAAGATATAAAAACAAAAAATATTAGAACTACCAAAAGAAATTTATAAGTTGCAAAAGAAATTATCTTTACAGTTATGTGGAAATGTAAAATAAATAGTTTAAAATTACTAAAATCATACACATAACAATAAAGTGTTATAATTAATGACAAATGATATGTTATTGAGTTAGGTTCCTGCAGTTTGAGCAAATAAGGCTGACCTAAAACATGTTGCTATTTTGGGAATATTTAAACTTTTGCAGCAAAGCAACCCTATTTATATAATTTGTGACAAACTTTGTCATGTACAATTTGGCAGAAAGCATTGTTGCTGTAATGCAATGACTTCAATCTGGTAGTACAGTAGTTATTGTTACTTTGCTTGGATAGGTCAAAAAATGTAAAAATTGGAGATCACAAGAAGTACATTTTTTTTTATGTAAATGAAGTACTATAAATAAAATATTGTAAAAGCAATTCATAATATGCAAATGTCATACATACAGCCACGGGGTTGGTCACATTTTTTCAATCACGAATAAGCTAAAGTATAAATACTGAGAGTATTGTTACCTGTATTACATATACATGCTAATATTAATGTAACCATATTTATAGAAAAATATAATATCCTCTTTAGCAGAGTTCATTGATGAAATTAATATTACATTTATAGTTTTATAGGAAATTTACAAAAATATTACCTCCAGTATCAGGGCAATGGAAATTAGGATCTAGTCCTCTGGCACACATTTTTGTTATTTTTTCTACATGTCCATTAGATATATATTCTAACATCCTACGTAGATTTGCCTGTTTAATAATAAATATATATTATCAGTATAATTAAATATATTAAATAAATTTACATTAATAATATATTTAGATTCAATTCTTTTTAAAATCAATTTATTAATTTCTTAACAATATGATAATTGCACTTTATGACAGCAATTTATAATTAATTTATTCTTTTTATTTGGGTTCTTGATTATACCAAAATGTCTTCCTGTTCAAGAGATCTATGCCAGCAGTGATAGAACTCACAAAAGGGAACTGAACTGTTGAACTAACATTTTAATTTGTGAAGTCTTTCAGGAAGAATTGTAAACCTTTGATTTCTCTCCATAATAAACAGGTTACATAACTAGATACAATTCTGTCTCCATTTCCATTTCCAACCCATACATGATTACCTATCTTTTCAGCAACCTATTGATCTAAAGAAGTAGAGACTGGTTACCTGAATACAAGGCCCAGCCATCAGTCAGTGAGCAAATCAATGTATGACTCACATTTAAAACTTAAAAAATTATCAGAATTTAATCAAATAAATGCATTTGTCATGATTCCTGAATAAAACTGTTACAAAATGAACAAAAATTTTATTATTTGAATAATTTGTATCATCAAAACTATTTATATTTCTGTTGCACAAAGTTGTGTGTGACAACACAATGTGTAAAAAGTCATGTCATTGCACACTATGCAGTGCTCCATTTAAAATGAATTGGAACTGGTTTTTGTTCAATTATTCAAACCATTAAATTCAAACTATATCAGAACTTGTTATAGTTTGAATTTAATGATTTATTTAATTAATATTGTTTTATTTAATGTTGAATTTAATGAATTTGATGTTCTACATTCATTAAAATGTAGTTAATAAAACAAAAAATCATTTGTTGTCTAATTGCTTGCTAGATAACAACTTCTGCACAAAACACTTGCATGGAGGCATTACTTATTTAACAGCCTGCATAGCTGGTCTGATGAGATTCAATAATCAATCATGTACAGTACAGTATCAATAATTAACTAAATAAACAAGATTACTTATGATAACATTGAGCAGAATAAATGAGAATATTTTGGAAATTACAGGCATATAGATTATCTGTTGGAATGAATAGGGATTCCTGTAATAATTGGATGATAGTCTGATTGAATTGAATGCATTCCACTTCCAATTCAGATTTCTTTCTATAGAAAAAATCTGAATTGTTCTTTTAGTTACTAGACCAGGTAAACTTTCCTCATCAGTCCTATCTCTTACAGATATGAAGAAATAAATACTGTAGGTGAGAACTGGGTAATTATTTTATTTATTTTAATTGTAAGTTGTCATCTACAATATATATTTCTCCAGATCTGTGAAAGGACTGATGAGAGGCAAATAAGCCTGAAATGTTTTTTTAATATTTTAGTTACTAAAGTTTGTCTGATCATTCACCTAAGAGTTCCTGTGTGATAAGTTCTCCACAGCAATTTTATGCTCATTTTTCAACAATCTTAAAAAGAATAAGAAGCAATCAAATATCTAAAATTCATTATTATTTTAAATATAAATGCTTTTCATATTTTTGACCTATCTCCTTCAAGATCATGCTTATTTTTATTCAGACAAACTAATTTGTATAAAATAGTTGTTTTGATGATAAAATTAAAATATTCAAAAAATGTCTTAAAAAACATTGAATTCTTAATTTCAAGGTAGTTTTCTTAATTTTGATATAAAATTTAATAATCATATGTAGAGATTTAGAAGAAAAAAGTTTACATTATTCATAAATCAAAAGTAAGATTTTATTTAAGGAAACTAGCTGCAAGGACCCGCTTCGCTGGGCAAAAAGTAACAATAGTGAAGATTAAGATAATTACATTATAGCCAATCTTACCTGTTTTCACAGAATGCAAGAATTAGGTCCCCCGTTTCCAGACTAATTAGAGAATTTTTACATGAGTCTAAAAATATGTTCGATTTCCCGCAAAAACGCAAAAANATTGTTTAATTTATATTAATATGTATCACTTAAAAAAATTTTAATGAAGATATTTATCTTAATTATGAAAATATACTAGCATGTTTTTAAATTTTTAGAACCTAACCCTTCTTTTCGTATTAGTTCTTTGTTTCGTATAACACGGATTCGCATAACACAGCAATTTTTTGGAACGTAACTACCGTGTTATACGGGTGTTACCTGTATAGTATATATACCCGTCAAGCTATTTCGATTATCCTTCTTCTTGTCATTCCTTAACATTCCATACACAGTTGGATTGCGTCGATATATTATTCGTAACTTATTTTTATTGGCAACTTTCCTATCTATCTTATTTAGAAATGGAAAATAATTAATTACCACATTTTTTCTTTGATCAATTTCGGGAGGCTGCTGGTTTTGCTTCTGTATTCTTTTAATAAGTGCGTCAATCTCTTTTCTGTGGTATCCCTGTCGCGCTGCTGCCTTTTGTATGTAATCTAATTCCTCATATGTATCATATAAACTCGTGCAGTGGGTGTACGCTCTTTTAATCCATGCTCTAAACACCGCATGTTTAACGTGCTTAGTATCTGTCGAATTCTTTGGGATGATAATAGGTTGATAAACTGGTTTGCGATATATGCCTGTCCATATTTCCCCTTCCTTACAAGTAATTGATATATCCAGGAAGTTAACATTCTTCTCGCTTTCTTGGTCCAAACCCAAAGTCAACCCATATGGGTTATTGTTGATCTTGTCCATAAAATTCTGTATGTTGTCATCATTTCTCCACAAGATGAAAATGTCATCGACATATCTGGAGTATATTACTATATCGTTTCTAAAGATGGGTATGATACTTCTTTCAAGCTGACGTAATACTAATTCACATAGGACAGCTGACATTGGGCTGCCCATGGGGACGCCCCTTCCTTGAAGATAGGTCTTCCCTTCAAAAACAAAAAACGACGTATTACAAACCAAATCGGCCAGTTCTAAAATGTGTTTGTGGTATTTCCTAGGATTTTTAATGTTGGTAAATAGAAAGTCCCTCAAAGCACAAAAACAGGGTGCTAATTTTATTGAAGGGTATAATGCTTTGTAATCCATTACTGTCATATATTCCTTGTCCTTAAGCGTAACCTCCCTTAGTTTCTGCACCAGTTGTATCGAACTTTTTATGGAAAAGGGGTACTCCTGAATTTTATTTCGTATAAACCTGACCAGCTGCTTTTCAATAGCAAAAGTAGGCAAACTGCATTTTTCTATAACCGGGTGTAGTTGACAACCTGGTTTATGGGTTTTCCCAAAAGTGAAAATTTTTGGTGTTCTTGGAGCTCGAATGACAGAATTCTCCATGTTTAATAGATTTGCTAAAGGAGTGAGGGTGAACTTCCTGACCCTTTGCTGCAAAGACTCTAAAAAGTTTTCAGGAGCATCAAGGCATTCTGTATTTCTGATGTATTCCTTTAACTTATTGTTGTAGGAATCTCGCTTGATAAGTACTATACCTTTAGACTTATCCGCTTTCATAAGTACTATATCCTTTCTCTGCATCCATTTTCTTGCTTCTTTTATGCAGTGGTGGAAGCGTCTTGTATTCATGTTATCCATTTTTTCTTTTTCAGTGCGATATCTTGTTTGCCATCTGACGTAATCCTGATTCGTGGTATCCATACCCTTTATAATAACCTCAATATTAAAAAGGCATTGTTTACTTATATTATCAAAAATATGCTAAAATACTCTAAAAACATTAAGCCCCTAGAAGAGATTTCCATTTTTAAATGACTCTTTATCTTTGAAAACAGTGTTAATATCATGTATAAGTTGACAATTAAATCTCAAGTTTCTAGAACTAGTCCATTACAAAAAATATAAGTAAAGCCATTATAAATCATCAGGTTACATTAAATGCATCTTGGTTGATTATTGCTTGATCTAGTACCTCCTTTCTGTGAGCTTATTCATATTTTGCTTGCCATTTATGAGCAAGTAAATGAGAGATTATGTATTGTATAAATTGTTATCACTATTTATATAATAATGGAGTAAAGAGCAAACATTAAATTTTGTTTCCATCTGAGTAAAAATGCTACCAAAATCTGATCCTGTTACAATAAAATATGTAATATCACTCTATACTGATAATTACATATATTTTGAACAAAACTAATGATTACAGAACTAAATTATCACTTAAAATTATTTCCTACAGCCTACCTACATTAGAAACCTATTAATCTGGAAATCCAGTTTATATGAGTCTGGATAAAAGTAGAATAATGTTAAATAAAATTTAAGAAATTAATTAATGGTATGTTTGTGCAAATATTTCATGGTTATAGTTGTTGTACAACTTACTTTGTTATTTAAAAAATATTTATAACCACTTTGAAGCTATTAAGATATTTGAGAAGTTGCTGTACTATACAGTACTTGCAGTGCAAGATAGCACAGTCAACTCCCAATTTATAGATAGTATGGTAATGGAAGGTTCACAGACCATAGTATTTTGAATTCCATAGTAAATATATAAATTTCTTGAAAATAACTGTATGATAATAGGCACTCTACTATGCTTTTAATATGTCATAAGGGAACGAAACAAAGTAAAATGCACATTACAATATCGAAAATATATCTCATTACCAATCACACAGATTTTACTCATTTAAAAGCTTACAATAGAATCTTTTAAATTAAAAATTATGATTCCAGTAATTAATCATACATTAATTATTTTACATAGCTATAAAAATTATAAAAAGTACCCTATATTAACCTAAAAACACTCAGCACTTTTTTTAAATTTAACAACTACACATACACAATCAAGAACAATATGACTCTTTTTCATGTATATTCCTGCAGCCACTGACTATGGTAAATCCTCAATCTGATAAATCCATCCACCACTAAATCAGAAGTTGACTGTACTTTATTTGGTAAATTATTGATACTCAAATGACAGATTCTATGTCTTGGAAGCATATGTTGATTCTTAAAAAAAAAAAATATTTTGGACTTTGTTGATTGAAGACATATGTGGCTGAAGATGTTATATTACAAAATGAAAGTTTTGAGTGAACTGATGTTCAAGCTTTAATTATGTAATTACTTCAGTGTAATTATATCCATGAAATAGTGTGTTACAAAGAGTATTACTATGTCATTTAATTTTTGAGATCTTTGATGGTAATATATGAGAGATGGATATATTACAATTTCATCCACACAAGACAACTTGATTTTGAATGATTGTAAGAATAATACTTTCATCCATCCATATCTTCAATTTAAATAATATCTTGATTAATTCAAAACCTGCATTATATCTTGTCTTTACAATGCATTATTGGAATATCAACACAAAAATAAACACAATCAAATCAAAACAAATCCTGGGCATATCTTCTGGCTCATCATTAGTTTAATGATGTCTACTTTATTTCCAATAATTCATTGTAAAGACAAGATATAATTATAAAATAAATGAAATAGAAAAACAAAATACTTGAAATGGAACTACAGTAGAGCATCGATTATCCGAAACAATTTGGGACTGGGGTTGTTCGGATAACTGATCATGTATGGAAAAAGAAAAAATATATTAACCTATCCATTCCATGTTGAAATTTTTCTCCGCTGTGTGTCACTTAGCATTGAATTTTCACCAATGTTAAGCCTAACAAAAATTTTAAAAAAATAATCATCATGGCTATTGTATTGTTAAAAATTATTTCTTTATTTTGCACAAAATAAATATATTGAAAAATATAAAAACAAAAAGATTATATTTCAGAAGTTAATCTAGTATCAAAAACATTCCGATTCAGCACGATACACGTCCCGACAACAGTCCTCAGAAAAAACCACACAAAACAAGCAAAACTCTTTCTTTTTCTTGGGTTTATCTGGAGATGTCAGCCGCTTGGGCTATATTCTCCGACGAGCTGAAGCAAACATACCACTCACAATGGGGGAAAAAAGCCTCATTCAAATACTGGTGCATCCTTAAATACCCTCTCGACATGTGTTGTGCTGAATCAGAATGTTTTTGATACTAGATTAACTTCTAAAATATAATTTTTTTGATTTTATATTTTTCAATATATTTATTTTGTTTGTGCAAAATAAAAAAATAATTTTTAACGATACAATATGTTCGTGCCAGTGTTACCAGCTAAAACACGCATACCAACAAAAATAATACTGGAGTAGCCCAAGATATAGCCAAATATTGCAGTGCCACAGCACTAGCAGCAGAAATTTGAATTTGCTGACTGGATTGCTTTTAGTTAACTGATGTTTCGGTTGATCGGTATTCGGATAATCGATGCTCTACTGTATCTAAACTAAATTAGGTATTAAAATTATTTTATGATTTCATTTTGTTTCTATTTTATTTATTAACTAATATTGATTAAATATATAACAATAAAAATAATAATACTAATAAATGCTAATATAACTCTAAAAAAATTAAATAGAACAAGATATTTAATGTTGGTAATATGTGTAGTATATTTTTTAAAGAAGCTCTTGGTAAATTTAGACAAAGAAAAAATTGGTGATTGAGTTTATAATTGCAATTTAAAATTGACACAAAATCCACTGCTTCAAAATTGCCTTTTAAACACAAAATCCATTGATTATTTATATAAAATTATGATATGCTAAGCAATCTTAAATGCTAATAATTTTTCAGAAGTCTTACCATTTTTTTTTTACAAAATACAGTTGTCCCTCGATAATCCGACAGGTATGGGACCAAAGGTGTGTCGGATTACCAAAAGTGTCTGGATTACCAAAAATAATTACATATTTCGCATTGTTTTGCTAGCAGTAACTTACAATATTCTCTACTCCAACTGTTTGAACAGAAATGCTCACATAAAACACATGAAATGTGTGTCATCGAGTAAGAATTAGATGGGGAGATTCACATCGCGACATGCTTCTGTGCAAGCAGACACGTAACGGGGACGGGTACCTTGACGGGAGGTGCGTCGGACTACTGAGCATGTCGGATTAAAAAACGTCGGACTAT